ATAATTAGTTTTCATAAAAAAATAAAATTTAAAATTTATTTAATTAAAATAATTTATGTAGTGTTAATGTTAAAATAATATTTTTTTAATATTTTTCAATAAAAATTTATTATAAAAAGTTGCAATATACTGTTCCATGCCTCATGTCAAGCCTTAGTCTTGCCACCTAAATTATGCAATCCTCTTGGAAGGGAGAAAGTCTTTTGTATTCTCGGGGATATGTTGACATGATATTCCCTACTAATTATAATATATTACATTATTAAAAAAAAAATTTCACCTCATTAATCATGTCAATTTATTCAACAATAAAAATAATGATATGATATATTGTGATTAGTCGAGAACACCACATCAACGATATCCCTAGAATACAGTAGAATTTTTCCCCGAAAGGGCTCGATAGTATTTGTCTATTGCAAAAATCTGAAGCTGAAGGTTAAGGAGGAGGCAAGAGGAACATCGATCAAAAATTGGACGGTAGGGGGATAAAATTGACCGAAGATTTTGTACGAGGACAAATATGATTGGCGAAAAAATATTTTTTTGGTACACGACAAAAAGTTCTGTACGAGGATAAGTTTTGTATAATCTTGGAGGCTGAAGGGTTAAACTAGTATATATATATATATTTACATCAAATGATAGATTATATAATATAAATTAATTTTTTTTTATAATCCTTCGTACTCACCTCATAATTTAAATTTAAAATTTTTAATTTTTAATTTCTAACTACTTCAAATATAGTTTAAGAGTTTTAATTTACCTAATTTTATTCATTTATGGAATTTGGAAGGCATAGAAAGTGAGACGGAATTTCATTTTGGAAATTGGATTTTTGTCATGGGTATTAAAATGAAAATTTGCTTCAAAAGATCAAGAATGTGTGATTTTCCATCCATTCAAAAAGACAAGAGTGAAGTACAAATTGAGACATGAAGAAACAATCACATGCAGAGACAACTTGGAGCTTGATCACCCACATGCAAATAGAAGTATCTTAGCCCAAATAGAAGTATCTTACACTTCTTTTTTTATCTTTCTCATCCTTGTTCTCAAATAAGCTCTTTTGATCATCATAATTTCCGATGTGAATATTGAAGAATGTTTCCTACTCAAAGCGGACTTTTGAGAACACTAACGCGTTCTGCTGTTTGAAGATTTGCCTGTTGATGCTCCCTAATTATGATCCATTTTCAAGTTTCATCACCCTTCTTATAAAACACTAATTGATCACATGTGCCTTCAAGATTTGTTATTACTGTATAAAACAAACAATTAAGAGCTACCTAAGCTATTAATGAATGAGCTGCAAACCATGTAAGGAGTTAGGAGTGGTTGAAAGGTAGTTTTACAATAATAAATGTGCTATAAATGTGCTATAAATGCAACGCAACAACAGGAGAAGTCTTTTTCTATGGTGATTTTTATTTTTTTGGTACATCAATAAATAACCACTTAACACATTTCTTACGACCCTTTCTCTTGTTCAGTTAGAGCCATAAAAGAGTCGAACTCAGTTTGAAGTAAGCTCAAGCTTGAGGCTGCAGTAAGAGCTCAAGTTAGCCGCCCTACCAAAATAAAGACCTAGCGCAGCTACCCCATTGCCACTAATTTTCTCTTTCTTCCTTGACTTTCCTTTTCTACTCTTGTTCTTTTAGGTACCATTGGAATCCAGAACCTTTTCTCGATCTCCTGTTAAAAGTGTTTTCTATTGCATACATGTAAGCTTTTGCTCTTCTGCTAGAATTAGCCATATCATGAAGTCAATTGATTATTAGGAGAAACTAATTCCAAACAATAATAATTAATTTACAATGTTTATTGATAACATTTGAGGACAATAGCTACGTAACATTAAATGAATTCAATACATATTGATGCACGTAACTCACTAAATTTTCAAAGCGAAACATGAAAAAGCGACGAAAATAAAGTTTATACCAAAGATATGGTTGGCTTGGAATGATTTCGTGCCCATTTTTATTATTCTTCCTGACGAAACGGTGTTCGCAGTCTCTTCTTTTACATATTTCATTCTAACAAAAGTTATTTATTATTATTTTTTTCAATAGAAAACGTGTAGAAAGGGCAGAATGGATGATGGATGATTCCTTTTTACGATATCTGAAGTCTATTGGTATCGTGGAAGAATAATTAACCTAACATCCTACATTTTTTAAATTAAGTACATACGCATAATTTTTTTTTTGCACAGCAAGTACATACGCATAATTATTATAAATTATGGTGATTGTATAGAATATACAAAAAATAAACCATGAGAATAAATAATAACAAACAAATTAAATTGTAACAAAATGAGTGAAAAATTTTGGATATAGACTCACGTATATTGAACTTGATATAGAATTTTAATATTTATTATTGAATCAGACATATTATTCGTAATATATTACTTGTATGTGAGGAAAAGGGAATGAAAGGGAAGAGAACAAGCAAAATGGGGAAAATGATGGAGAATGGGGAAAATGATGGAGGAAAAACATGATATGTGATTTCTTTTTTTCAAAAAAGAAAAAAAGCCATGAGATATGTGATTAACCTAACCTCAATCCTAGCTATCTACCTTTCCTTCTTTCCTCATCTTAATTTCCCCATGTCCAATTTCCTTCCCTCTTAAGAAATATCACGTTAAGCCCTTTCCTAATTCACAACCTAGCTCTTCATATATGAAATGTAATGTAACCTCCGGAATTGGAACACAAGCCTCCACCAAGAGGGAGGGGGGGAGTGGGGTCTCAGTGTTCGGTAGGCGTAGTGGGTTTATGATACTGAAGGACAAGCCTATATATCGAAGAAAAGGAAAGGACTTCACCCGTTTTTCACTCCCAAGCCCATTACAAACATCAGGGAACATTTTCGTCCTTAACTGTCCCAAGCCAACCCAATTGATGTACCAGCTAGAGGATTCCTACCATCCACGTTGAAAATGCTACTAGCAAATCTATAGCTAGCACTGTTGCATTTGAGTTTCAAACGCCAGTAATGCTTTTGATAATTGCATCAAGAATCTAAAAATCGAGACTTGGTTTACAAGAAAAAAGGCGAAATGAGTCATTATTGTGTAATTCACACATTTAGAAGAAAGAAACAATTTATTAGTCAAGCCTGCAAAAAGAAGAAAAAAAGACAATATAAACTAAAAACCACATATAATGTTCTAATTATCCCCAAATTTGGGTGCTTTAATTTTTTTCTTTCAAATGCGGGTGCATCGGTGAAGGAAAATTTTTGTCAAAGAGAAGCGTGCCGATTGCAAAAGCACTCCTCTCTCCATTGGCTTAAACTTTTTTTTTTTTTTTTACATATATTTTTTAAAATAAAATTATTTTGACCAATGGAGAGATCGTACTAAAGATTTTTTTGTCAAATTTAACTATAGATTTTTTCCAAGTGTAGACCGAAAAACATATGTAATGTGATGAACTTGAAGAGGATAAGAGTGAAGGCCGAAAAAGAAAAAGAGGAATAAGAGTATGCCAAATTTACTAAAGATTTTTTGTCAATTTTAACTAGAGATTTTTTCCAAGAATAGACCGAAAAACGTATGTAATGTGATGAACTTAAAGAGGATAAGAGTGAAGGCCCAAAAAAGAGGAATAAGAGCATGCCAAATTTCCACTTCAACAGAACAATTCTAAAACTAACCCCTTCTGGTGCACAGATTAAACTATAATAGTTAAAGGTCAACTTAACCTACGCCAGCATAAAAACTGGAAGTGACAAAAGAACATGCTCTGCCAACCCGTGATTAATTGTCAGCATTTCTGTGTATAGTGTTCTTTCCTTTTTTAACTTTGTTTTGTTGTACAAAAAACACTAATTAAATCCCATGTTCACCCCACAATTCGAGAAGATACTTCTGGCACCTGCTGTTATTCACTAACAAATCATGTCTTGCCCTTTTTGTTCTTTTAGGTTTGGAGCTGGACCCTCCAACTTCACTCCCTAATTTTCTAAGGTTGTGCCTGTATTCCACCACTACCTGCTCTAACACTTCTACTTCAAACATGTTTAATTTCATCTTCGGCTTCATGTAATCCCTCACAAATGCAAATGCTAGTTGGTCTCTTGGGTTAAATGCTTCCAATTCATTAAACATTAGGCACGAAAAAAGGTTGCTTCCTAATCCATGCTTCCTCAGAATTAGAGCAGTATCTGGTACATCTGCCCACAAAATTAAAAGAATCCATCATGAGATAGAATAATCATTTTTTTATCTTGGTTGCATAATAGAGGTAACCATCTCTCGTCCCTTATCCCACCCCACCCACATATCATGCAACTCAAACTCATAATCTTTTACTTTTTGTAGAAAAAAATGCCACTAAATTACTTAAGTCGTTAGCAGATAGCATAATCATTTAGTATTTCTTAATCTGGCGTAAACTTAGTTACATGGATAGATAAACAGAAACACGAAATGAGGAGTATAATCTTTCACGTGATATCCAAAAACTGCATTTCAAACAAATGATCAATAAAATTGGCACAAGACAAAAGATTTACCTGTTGTATAAGGGAGCTTATTGGGAGTCCATGGCTGCAACCCATTTTCACAATAGGTCTCCATCTGCAATGTCAAGGCATTAACATCCCACCATTTCTTCCACCTTGCAGTTGCCATAGCTTCTTCCATTGTATTAACATAGAACGGATGTTTTGATAGTGCCATGTCTGCCTTCTCCGACACAACGAGAGAATGTATCAATAACAATGGATCCACCATTAATTGCAGCTTGGCATCAATCCAAATGCTGAATTTCGAGTTTGGAAAGAGTCTATGAACCAAGTACTTAGGTATCACCCCATTCATGGCAGGATTTTCATACAATTCCTTGGAAGCTACTCTAACTATTCTCCAAACCCCTATCTTATGCTCCGGCGATTTTGGTGAAACCAATTGGTGATAATCAAGTCCACTGAAGGTTATGTCATCTACAAACATGAAGAAACATACAGTTGCTAGGGTTTTGGATCCGAGGCCTCTCGGTTGCCGGATTTTGTCATGGTCGTTGAAGATTGCCGATACCACCACAACTCCATTGCAGCTTTCCATGGCAGATCGATCTGAATCAAGAGCAAACAAACAAGTTGGAAATTTAAAAAAGGGAAAGTAATTTCCTTAATGCATATGCCAATATGAAAGTGCGCCAAGATTCCGAAGAGGAATCAGTCTCGAATTGTGGAAAAGGTGGTCACACACCTAACAGTAAATAAGAAAAAAAGAAAAAAAGGGAAATCAGCAAAATTGGAAACTCCGGAGAATTCAGATGAGATCTAACCGGAATTACTGATCGGAAACTTTTTCAAGAATCCACAAGGGACTTTCACGTTATAATTGGAATGATCAAGATACGAAATTCTCTGCTGGGTACTGAAATCCCCACCAAAAGTCTCACTTTCCCTCTGCACATACCTCAAAACCGGCGAAAACGCAGAAGAATTCTTACACAAATCTTGGATCTCCTTCAACGCCACCCCATAATCTAACCACGAAACAGAATACCCAATTCGCCCAAAATCACAAAAACAATAATTAGAAACCAAAATTCAACAAGAAACAAGTAAATCAAAAACAGGGGAAAGTAACAATACCGGAGAAGAAAACAGGGGAAGAGCAAGAGGAACGGTGGGTGGGGATAGCGTACTTATGTTCTCCATAGGATTGAGGGTAGGAGAAGAGAGGGGTCTGAATTGGATCGAAAGGGGAGGACCTGAAGATGCATTTGGTGGAAGAAAGGGATTGGTAAAGAGCAAGAAAGAGAGAAATGAAGAGGTAGAAGACGGAGAAACAGAGGAGTTTTGATCGAAAAAGCAGAGGAGTTGTGGCTGATACCATCCCCACAAAGTAACCAGAATTTCTACTCCGGTTCCATTTGTTCCCCAATTTCCAAATTAGCATCACCTCATTTCTTTTTCCTTTTTATCCTCTAGAAAATTAGAAGAAAAAAAAAATCACTTCAGTTTTTCATTATCATCACTAACTAAATATTAAGAACTTGTCAGCCTGACCTCCCAAAAATTAGGAGGAAAAAGGACAAATATCACCTTAATGCATGCTTTAAAAATAGGGTAGTTTAGTCTTTTTCAATAAAAGTTTATTGAAACGACGTAGTTTTAGGATGATTTCCCTCCTAATTTTTGAGAGGTCAGGCTGACAAACACTTTTCCCAATATATATATAGATATATATATATTAAGAAGAAAACCCTTTTTCTTATAAAAATTTCCCTTTTTATAAAAATAATCATTGCTTTAAGGTAGCATTCAATGCATATATATATATAGAACTTTATTTCTAAGTTTCAGCTAAAGTTGTCTTCCCAAAGTATGTTCAGAGGGAGTTCCGGAAACAAATTAGTGGGGAGAGAAAATTGTTTTATTCTTCTTAACTTGTTGCATAATATAGATTAGTTATGAAATTTACAGGGTAATATACATGCTACATCATGTAAAAGAGACATATATTTAAGGATGTCCTAGTAATTAAAAACTTAGAGGTTCTATATTAGAAATTTTATATTTAAATCTTAATATAAATAAGAGGAGCCTAAAATGGATGAAACAAATTATTATTTATTATGTAACTTACTATTTTTTTTTTTTTGACAAGGGTAATGGTTAGAAAGTTAATATGAATTAGTTGTTAGTAACTACGAATTCGATTTTCAGACCGGGTGAACATTCTACCTCTCAAATGAGGCGCGCGGCCATTAGACCGCTTTTGGTGGAGTTTACGACGGTGGTAGCACTCGAAACTCCAACCACTTTACCCATACACGTAAGACTTGGGATCGAACTATTGAGCTAAAGGCCGGTTCATATAAGTTACTATTTGATTAAAAAGAAAAGAGACATTTCTTGCACAATTTTAGAGGCATATGCAAAAACAGAGTCAGAAATTGAAGTTAGGGGGCGAGGGGAAAGGTAAAATTTTTTTTTTGAGTTATTTATTAATTTATCTTAATATAATTTAAATTAATTTTTATAATAGTCACTTATTTTATGCATGTATTATTTATTTATGTACGTAAAACTTTAAATTAATTAGATATATTTAGTTTTATTAAGAAAATTATATATATTTAGTTATTTTTGAAAGATATATATATTTTAAAACCCCTAAATAAATAGTATAAAAATATAATTTATTTTTTTAAATGGTTTCTTAGATCGAAACAACTTTAAAATTGAAATATCTGATTTATATAAATAAAATGAATCAACTATTATTTCCATAGTATATAAATTGTACAAAAAAATTATATATAACTAATGTAAAAACTTATATAAATTATATTAATGTAATTAATTAGATGTTGACTATTTTTTAATATTTTTTCTTACCTAAACCAAATTATCATATCTTAAAAACTAATCACAAAGAGAGAAATAATTCCTTTACCTAAATCCTAAATATTTCTTTTATATTTGAAATGGTCCCAATAATTCAAAACCTCATAAAACAAAATTTTGTCAAAAATAAAAATTAGTGTACCATATTTAAAAATTTTCAAAAGCTTAGGGGGGGCAGCTGCCCCTCCTTGTCCTACATTGGCTCCGTCCCTGGGCATATGAAAGGATTTTAAAAGGAAGCAGAATACTTAAATTCATCATAGTAAGAAAAAGAAGAATAACAACATGTTAGGAATCAGATTGCAAAGTTGCAACCTTGCCCTGCCACATGCAAGAGGCGATGCCCTTCACCTATATGGGGTAAAAAGTTGCCCAACACCCAAGTGACCCAACCCAACACACCTGGGGATTCCAAGGCCATTTTTACTGTGTTTATTTTAATAAGCATTCAAATGCATAATGACCAAGAGCCCAATGCAAAATAACTGCAATCTAAGTGTACAAGAAGATATATATGAAAGTACAAGAAACCCTTTCTCTGCTAAAGGAATATCTATCCCATTATTGTAGGTATAGCATTCCAAAAGGAATATATATCTTCAAGAAAAATAATTAAGACCCAATGAGAGTTTTTATTAGAGAGTAATTCTCTTGTTGCTGTGACTTTTGTTAACAACCAAGGGTTTAATCTTTCCTCTGTTCGAAGCTTGGAGGTTTCCATACCAGATGTTGTAACTGGGCCTGACCATACCCACTTTCAACATGTTAAGCGGCAGGCTAGTAAGGTCGCCCATGTTCTGGCGCAAGATGCAACATTAATTACTAACTTCTGAACTTCTGTAGAATGCTATTTATATATGATTAGCTAATGCATGATCCAAGCTAATTTGATAATATAATGGTTTTGCATATTCGATAAATGAATTTAACTTTAGAGATCAGGAAAAAAAAGGAGAGTTTTAATTTTTCATTTCAACCTATTTCATTTTATTATAAGCAAATTCACACAAGTAGGAAATAATTGTGTGTCAAGGTCCTTGTTTTAAGTTCGCTTTATTTTTAAAGTTTGAGTAAAAGATAGTCATTTGTTTAATCCAAACGAGCCCTACGATTTTCTGTTTTTTGCCATAGCCAGAAGACGTTAATAAGCCCAAATAACTAATCTCATAACCGAGCCCACACTAAAGGCAAAATAATGACCCAACTCAAATCTCTCTAAACAAACCCACCATGCCCGACCCGACTCAATCCAAAAGAATACGGGTGTGCATTTTCGAGTCGAGATTGTGTATAAATTAAATTTGGTATTTGATTTAAAAATTTTTAGGTATAGCTTTTAGACTTGGTACCTACCCAAACATTTAAACACTTATACTTAGTATTTAATCCAACATGTTATGGGTAACTTATAAGTATATATTTATGTATTTGACATAAAAAAAGAAAAGATCTAATATAAGATATTATTGTTACGTATATTACATATTTGGTTTAGAATTTATTATTTATATGAATTGTTATTGTTGCATGTGTAATTTGTTTGGTTTATACATTTTACTTAATTTATATTTTTATTGTTTTGTAATTTATTATATTTATTTTTAAATTATTATTATTATATATATTAAATATAATAAATGTATATAATTTAAATTTTATAAATATAAGTAACATGTTAATTAAATAATTAGTTAAATAAATTAAATAAATAGTTATAAATCTTTATATTTGTTACTTAACTTAATACATATAAATATATTATTTTTATATCTATTATTTACTCTTTTTTTATAATTTAAATATGATATTTATCTAAACATATAAAATTCTTATAAGTAACAAATGTTTCCATATCCAATACTTACCCTTAAAAGAAAACATGAGCTGCTCAACTTTTACCTCTAAACATTAAACAAAACCCCTGACCCGTTTGCAATTTGGGTGAACTAAGATCGGCAAAATTCAGCCCAATACCCAAATATACACTGAATCTTAACCCAGTAGGATGTAGTTCGTCTAGATTCACAAATTTTTGGCCGGATTTCAACCCAAAATCTAATTTTTCCGTTAAGAAAAGGTGTAGATATAAATATAAATTTTATTATTCTTCATATTTAAGCATGTGAATTTTTTGGGTTTATAAATCAAATGATAAACTTTTATTTATTTCTATATAAAGATACAAATTTTGCAATTTTTTTTAAATTAATAATTTATTGAATGGTAATGATGTCGTTGCAAGTAGTAATCTTAATAAAAATAAAAGAAATAAAAAAAATATTAAGCAGTAATATCTTAATCTTAATATTTTTTTTGTTGCATTTTAATTGTCATATTTTTTTATGTATTTATATATAATATTAAATATTATTATTTCAACTTTACATTATTTTAGTCTATTTATAAAAATCATAAAATCTTTATTAAGAATAAATATGCCATATTAACACATAATCATAGCATTTTAATCAAGGTTTAAATTGTTCATATATATATATGTATGTATAAAGAAGTCAAAAAATAAGACAACTAAAATGCAACAAAGGGGGTACAATATATGACATTGCCCCAGCACTAAGTCTAGTAACCTAGCACTCATTAGAAATTAATTTTTACATATTTTGCTACTAATCTCTTCAAATAATTTAAAGGTGTATCCGCACATTTATCTTGTATACTTAAGAAAATTAATTTTTAAAAATATTAATTTTAACACTTTAATTCTAAACTTAATCTATAAGGGAACAACATTTTATATATTATCAATGAATATAACTTTAGAGTTCTCATTGAAATTGGATGGGCCTGGACTGGACTAGTTGGCTTGGCCGATTGCATGACACTGGCATCATTCGCTCGACCCCCTCGTATGAAACCCGAGTTGGAGACACTCAACATTTTGGTGCTTTTCCATTTCCAACATTAAATTGTTGGGGTCGCCATCTCTCCAGTTCCAACGTAATCCGGAATACTAATATGTTGTGGGCGTTGACCATGGTTTAACCATGCTCTGGGGGGCCACAGCAAAGAAAGATACATTTGTGCTTTGAATCTTTGACTCGTGGTGGGCTTCATTAATTCTGCCGACTCCATATGGACAACGACCTTTTATCCTCTACAGTGCGTAGCAACTCTATCCTTTCAAAGAAAAACGCGTGCTCTCCTTGCTAATCTCATTCTCCATCCTATTCAACCACGTGTCCAAATTGCTCCACCTTCCAACTGCACATGTGCTTTAGAAGCCGAACAAGTGTCGTCCATTGAACCCAGTGGGACGTTCCTACTAACTTTGCAATGACTCATTTTGCACACCTCCACCAAAAGTTGTCGCCTCCAATCTCCACTTTTACATCAATGAATTCTAAAAATCTCAATTCACTTTTGGATTAAAGATTACTTTAATCATCCTTTCTTTTCAGGACAATGGCACCTTTCTCGAGTAGTTTAAGGGTAAGTCAAGTTCACCTCCTAACTTTTTGATCATGTACGTGCACATAAGTCCCGTTGGTTTTGATGTGTTGTATTCTCT